GAATTTGGTCTATGTATGAAAAAACTTTTGGAAACCTAAATGCCTCAAAAGTTTTGACTCAGTGTTAACTGAAAACAGTAAGTTTCAGATTCCTACATTGAAGGTCATGTAACAAAAACCAATTTGGAATGTCTTATCTAGAAAGGTAAGTATCCAAATGCCTTTGATTATCCCCGTCTTTTTTTTTTTTTTTTTTTTTTTCAATTTATGTATACCCAAGGATAGGATTTTCTTGAACTATGAAAACTTCAAACCAACTTTTGTAGGACTGTAGACTTTACATGTCTACTATTCTGTTTGAAATTATGTTTTTCACTTAATTTTCTCTTTCTGAACTTTTGCTCTTAACTGCATTTCTTTTTCAGTCAAACTAGTGTTGTTCCTAATTAGAAATTTAAATTACATCTGGTGCAGTTTGTATACTATTCTCGTATTCCTGTTGAAACATTCACGGCATGAAATAAATGTTAATATTGGTGAAATGAAGTTTGCTTATTACCTCATTGAAATTTAATATCTCAATTTGTAGATTGGTTTCACTTTCCAACAGCGCACTCCATGAGATATAACTAAGAGAGATATATGAAAGAATAGACAAGATAAACGTTTTTCTGCACCACAAGTAACATAAATAAAAGATATTCAAGAAATGTTTGGCCAAGTGCAGTGGCTCATGTCTTGTAATGCTCGTACTTTGAGGAGGCGAGAAGGGTGGATCAACTTGAGGTACCGGAGTTCAAGAGCCAGCCTGACCACAGGTAAAATCGCATCTCTCATAAATATAAAATTTTGCGCGGGCGTGAAGGGCCTCTGGTAATCCAGCTACTGGGGGGCTGAGGTAGGGACGAATCGTTGAACCCAGAGGGCAGAGGTTGCAGTGAGCTGAGAGTCGTGCCCACTGCACTCCAGCCTGGGGCCCTATAAAGCAAACTGTGTCTCAAAAAACAAGAAGAACAAGAAAGCAATGTTTCTCTGGTGAGGTCCCCTCTCAAGTTCACACAACTGCATCTTGTGCGTACTTTCTTGCCAAATGTTTTATAACGCTTTTATCACAAGTACTCCTGAAAAAATGTTAGTTGAAAGTCCTATCAACAAAATATCTTGGCTTGGGC